TATCTTCGTGTCTACCATACAACATGCTTGTGTGAATCCCTCTCCTCATTCTAGATGTTGACAGCCAGGTCCCATGTAATGGTGGTTGATGAAGTGGAAACTTTTGGCACGATTAGTCGTGGTGGTGGAGCTCTCGCAGTAGCACTTAGCAGCCCTGCAAAGGGCAGAATTGATGAGAACTCCGCTCTTTAACCTGTGAGGTCACAGCAACAAGGTGACCTTCGGTGAACCAGACAGCAAAACGGTCAGCGCCTGTGTCTTACACATTTTCCACTCGCCAGCAATGTGAGATGGAAATCCCTCTGACCGAGGGATTTCCTGAACATCCTAAACACGGGCTGGTCCTGAGAAATGGCGGTGTTGCAGTATCAAAGAATGGGTGCAGCCTTGGAGCGGCTGCTGTATGGAGATGGTTAGAATTTGGGGTTCCGCTGGTCTTCCGTGAACACGCTCTCCTGTCCTATCATGGCTTCCCCTACCATTGCGCGTGTCTCCCTTTATCCTTGTGCTCAGTGCCTTCACTATTTTATTGTGGGTAAAATATACACAACACAAAATTGACTATTTTAACCATGTTTAGGGAATCTAAGGGCATTCAGTACGTTCACAATGGAAGGCAGCCATGTCTACCCAGAACTGTTCATCTCCCCAACATAAACTCTGTCCCCCACAAAGCAAGCAGTTCCCAATTTCTTTCCATCCCTCCTCTCTCTCTCTCTCTCTCTCTCTCTCTTTTTCTTGGAATCATGGTTCTACTTGCTGTCTCTCTGATGTGGCCCAGCCTAGAGATCTCATGTAAGTGGCGTCATATGACTTGTCTTTGCCTTTGCACTGCCCCTCTCTCCTTTGGATAGTATTTCCAAGTTCTTGCACTCTATAACATGTATCAGAACCTTTTTCCACTTTAGGGCTGAAAAATATTCTGTTGTTCGTGTCGATCACAGTCTTATTTATCCATTCACCTGTGGACAGATATTTGGCTTGTTTTCCACCTTCAGACTTCAATGCTGCTGTGAGCTTTGGTGTCCAAGTATCTGTTTAGTCCCTGCTCAAAGAAAATGCTGGATCATGTTTTTGCGACTACACAATGTTTTTTATTCTCCCCCACGGTGTTCAAGAGAAACAGTTTTTCTACATTGTCACCAACACTTGTTATTTTCTGTGGGTTTTCTTTTGTTGTTGTTGTTTTTGTGTATGTGTGTGTTTTGGTTTAGTTTGGGCCTCATGAATGTGAAGTGATACTGCATGTAATTTATATTTCTCTGACTAGTGACTGAATATCTCTTGCATGTGCTTATTAGCCAATTGATATGTTTTGAACAAATGTCTGTTTAAAACTTGCCCAGTTTTGAAGCGCATTGGGATGTCTGTTGTGGAGTGGTTTGCATATCAAGATACTTCATCCTTTATCAGACACACAATGACAGGTAGTGTCTTCATTCCTTGGGTTCGGTGTGTCTTCAGGTGCATGCTCTACAGTGTCTGACGTACTGGAGGTCATCTTTCTGTTGTTGTTGCCTGTGTTGCTGGTGTCAGGGTGTTGCTAATTTTTTTGTTTTTAATGCTAGATTATGATTTCCATCAGCTCTTGGTACCATCCTGTGATCAATGATTTCAGGCAAACTGTGAGGATCCTTGGTCCTCTTAAGAACACTGTCTTTGTGTAGAGGAGGGCCGGGTGCATCTTTGAAGACGGTGGAATCAGGATCCAGAGTTCCTACAGGGTGCAGATTTCACAGCGCAGAGATACTGTCCACTCTCCTCTGCCTCCCACTCACTGAGGCCGCCTGCCAGTCTGTCCCTGTTAGTGTCTGTTCCAGCGGTGTCCTGGCATCTGCCACCTTGTGGTGATTAGTGGTACTGCCTGCGCCTTCCCCACTTCCTTCAAGCAGTTCAGCCTTGTTCTCCCTTAGAGTAATGAATATTTGTGGGACCCGCCACTGCTTTCCAGACTCCCAACAAGACTGGGGTGATGTCTGGAATAAACTTTCTGCCCCCATCTCCACCTTCATTTGCGAATTCTCATTTGCCACTTTCCTCTTTTCTATTACTTTCTGTACACTTTCCTCTTTAAAAAGATTTCTGTTGTTGTTTCAAAATAGGGTATATGTAGCCTCAACTATCAGCCATCTTGTTTTAGCCTCAAGTGCTGGGATTACAGGTGTGCACCACCACACCAAGCCATGTGCTCTTCTTAATCTGTCTAGTTTCAGAGAAGTGATAAAACGCACTTTTTTTTTAAAGATCAGATTTGTTTTTAATAGTTTCTTAAGCCGGGCGCTGATGGTTCACGCCTGTAATCCTAGCTACTCAGGAGACTGAGATCTGAGGATCGCGGTTCAAAGCCAGCCCGGGCAGGAAAGTCTGTGAGACTCCTATCTCCAATAAACCACTAGAAAACCAGAAGTGGCGCAAGTGGTAGAGCGCACACCTTGAGCTGAAGAGCTTAGGGACAGCGCCCAGGCCCAGAGTTCAAGCCCCATGACTGACAAAAAAAAAATAATAATAAAATGGTTCCTTAAATGTTTCAATAATAATAAAACAAAGACTTTTCTGTATTAGGGACTTTGAAAATACAAGTTGTAGAAAGTAGTTGGACTTTATTATAAATGAAATATGAGGTAATACAAGTTAGTTTAAAATTGTTTATTTGGAGGGGAAAAATGAGCCAGGAATAGTGGAAAACAACTTGTCATCCAGTCACTTGGGAGGCTGAGACAAGAGGACCATGAGTTCAAGGCCAGTCCAGGTTGCATTGTAATATCCTATATATATACATATATATATATATATTATACATATAATATATATGCAAACACATATATATATATGCAAGATAAACATGAAAAATAAAAAGAGCCTGATGCACGTGACTCGAGCCTATGATTCTAGCTACTCAGTAGGCTGAGTTCTGAGAATCATGGTTCAAGGCCAGCCTGGGTAGGAAATGAGACTCTTATCAACAATTGACCAGCAAAAAAAAAAAAAATCAGAAGTAGAGGTGGGGTTAGGTGGTAGAGTGCTTGCAAAAAAGCTAAGGACAGCACCCAATTCTTGAGTTCAAGCCCCCAGAACCAGCACACACACACACACACACAAGAGATTTGTTTTTTCAAATCTCTCAGTGAAACCAACAAATTTTATGAAGATTTAAAGATGATTGGCTCTTATATTTTCAGTTCCTAGATTGTTGTGACAATCTTATTTCTAAAAGTATGATGTACCTTTAATGTTTAATGATTTATGGATTTCAGGTTAAGAATCTCTGACTTATACAGTGAAAACAGGGGTTATACCAAAGAAACAACAAAAAAAATCACGTAGTACCCTATAAATATGTTAAAAAAATAATAGCAAGGAAGAAAAAAACATTTGTGTCCCTATCTTGGGCTTCATTTCTACTTAACATCATCTTATATGGTCATATGTACATAGCTTTTGTCTTTTATCCCGGCATCTTGTATATACATTTTTCTAATTTAGGGAGGGGAAGGATAAAAACAAAATGCTTAAATGGGGATACAGGTGGACCCATTGTAACAACGAGATGTACAAGACACTATGTTGAAAACAAACTTTACAACTTTGGTGGGGGTTAGGGGGTAGTTGGGAAGGTGGGGAAGGAAGGGATGGTAGGGGAAAAACAAAGGAGGAGGCAACAATGCTTGATAAAAAATGTACTCATTACCTTGCTCATGTAACTGTAACCCCTCTGTACAGTATTTTCACAATAAAAACCATATTTAAAAAGAATCTGTGACTTAAATTTCTAGTGCACTTAGACAATCCCAGCAATGATATGTTTGTGTGACGGTAACTAATAAGATATCTAAGAAGTGCTTCACTGGGATTACTGGTCCACCAACACACCCAGCTTTGCTGTATATATTCATGTGTGTGTGTGTGTGTGTGTGTGTGTGTGTGTACGCGTGCGTGTGCGTGCACACACACAAACGCCACTCTTGGTGCTTGAACTCAGGGCCTGGATGTTGTCCTTGAGCTTTTTTGCTCAAAGCTAACACTCTACCACTTCAGCTACAACTCCACTTCCAGTGTTTTGTGTTATTGGAGATAAGAGTCTCATGGACCTTCCTGCTCAGGCTGACTTTGAACTGTGATCCTCAGGTCTCAGCCTCCTAGTAGCTAGAGTTATAGGCATGAGCCACCAGTACCCAGCTGTGATACCTGTTCTAAAAATGGAAAGTGTCCTCTAATTCCACTACCTCTATCTCCCAATAAAATTGTTTATTTTTTTTATCTTGCTCCTCATTGTTTGGCTTTCCTTACCTGTGCAACATCTTCATAGGCAGATGCTTTTCAAATCCTTTCTTGAAAGGTACATTTCTTTTCTTTTCTTTTTTGGGTGGTTCTAGGATTTGAACCCAGGGCCTTTAGCTTGCCAGGCAGTACTCTACCACTGAGCCACTTCCCCAGCCTCCTTTCCTTCAGTTATTTTTCAGGGAGGGCCTCGTGTCTTTTTGCTGACGCTGGCCTAGACCTTGGCCCTCCTCCTATGGGTCCTGCATAATTTGGATGGCAAGCCTGTGCAACCACACCCCACTCGGTTGTTGACTTGGAGTCTTGCTGACTTTCCTGTACCAGCTCTAACTCCCTATTAGGTGGGATTACAGGTGTGAGCCACTGCGCCCAACCTTACACCATAAATGTCCGTTAAAGGAAAGAAATAGGTTGGTGCGAATCTTTCACACCTGTCCATCACTCTCCACTGAGCGGCAGGGTGCGCTGTGCGGGGCCGGCCCTCCCCGCAGCGGGGTGCTGGGGTGCGCTGTGCGGGGCAGCCCCCCCCCCGCGTGGCCGGGTGCTGGGGTGCGCTCTGCAGGGCAGGGCCTCCCCGCAGCGGGGTGCTGGGGTGCGCTCTGCGGGGCGGCCGGCTGTCTCTTGGATACGCTGTTGCTGCCACACCTGGGTCACCGCCCGACCCCGAGGCGGCGCTGGGCGCTGGGCGCGGCGCGGGCCTGGGACCGGGCCGGCCTGCAGCCATGCCCCCGCCGGTGGTCAGCCTGGCCGACTGCGCGCTCTTCTTCTGTCCCTGGAAGCCGCGGAGAGCGAGAGCGGCGGGGGCCGCCGCGGCGGGGCGGCGCGCGGGGTCGCGGCCCGGCGAGCCCCGGCTGTTCGGGGTCAGCCTCCAGGAGCTCCAGCAGCGGGGGCTGGCCGAGAACGGGGTGCCCACCGCGGTGAGGGGCGTCGTGGAGTACCTCGCCCGGCACGGTGAGCCGGGGGCCGGGGCGCGGGGGGCGCGGGGGAGGGCGTGGGGGGCGCGGGGGGACGCGGGGGGCACAAGGGGGGGCGCGTGATTTCAGGGTGTGCGATGAGAATGTTGGGGCAGGAAGTTAGTGCGGAGTACACTCTTCCCTTGAGAAAGGGGGTTCCTGCGGGGATCTGGGGGTGCAGAGCTTGCCTAGCGTGTACTGAACTGCTTGATCCAAGACAGCTGGGGGGGGGAGAAACAGAAGAGACAGACAGACAGACAGATAGAGAGACAGACAGACCGAGGGAGAGGCAGGGGGAAAGTGGAATAGAGAGAGGGAGGGAGAAAGCAGGAGAGGGGAAAGGGAGGCAGGGGAAGGAGGGAGGGAGGGAGGGAGAGGAGGGAATTGTGTGACTTTTTTTGCTTTTGTTTTTTACAGTACTGCTTCAGTGCATCACATTAAACAAATCCTTGTAATCATTCTGGTTTCTGGTTGAGAATGTGTCCTAGTTTCAAGAGCTAAAGTACACTTCAAACAATCTGCTGTTCTGATACCAGTAGTAGGTTCTTAATGGTTTCATCGTAAGGAGATGTGTGTGTGTGTGTGTGTGTGTGTGTGTAGTTTTTAAGATCCTTTTTTTAATATAGCACCTGAAGCTCTTATTATTACTGTCGCCATTGATGTTGTTTGGGGTGCTGGAGCGTGAACTCTAGGCCTGCAGCATACAGAGCCAGTTCTCTTCTGCTGAGCTACACCCCCAGCCCATCTCCAGCCATCTTTTGGTTATTAACAGCAAGGTAGCCCACAGACCTTCCAGCCTTCATGTAAAGTAAGACTTCAACCTGGATGAGTGAGAGAATGGATACCTCCTGGACTGCAGAGGAGAGTGCTACACTCAGTAACCAATCTCAGTGAACTCTCAAAGACTCGGGAAGAGGATTCTGAGGGATAAGCTGGGAAGTATTGTCACTTCTGAGCTACAACATGGCCCTACTGTGGAGCAGAAGTAAAATCAATCGAGATTAGAGGACGTGGATAGATTCATATGCCATTTTAAAATAGACTTGAGCATCTATGATATAGGTATCCACAGGGGTTCTAGAACCAATACCACAGCAGACAGTCTGGATATACCAACAAATACGCCCTTTATGGTTTTTTTTTTCTCCTTTAGTGTTCCTAGAGGTTGAACCTAGGGCCTCTTATTTGCTAGGCTGATGCTCTACCACTTAATCCACAACTCCAACCTTGTTTTCACTGTTTTGTTTTATGTCGGTTGTGGGTCTTGAACTCTGGGCCTGGGCGCTGTCCCTCAGCTCTTCAGCTCAAGACTATCACTCTACCTCTTGAGCCACAGCACCACTTCTGGTTTTCTGGTGGTTTGTTGGAGTCTGTCCAGGCTGGCTTTGAACCACGATCCTCAGATCTCAGCCTCCTGAGCAGCTAGGATTGCAGGCGTGAGCCACCAGGGCCCGGCTCCCTCCTGGGTTATGCACGTGAGTCAAGCTCTGCCCACTGTAGTCATCTGCTCTGTGTTGGGATCACAGGCGCCTGTCACCATGTCTGGGTGCCCTCTGGAGAGACAGTCTCCTTGACTTTCCTGTCCAGGCTGCTCTGGAATCACAGCCCTCCTAATCCTAGCCTCCCACATAGTTTAGGGTGGCAGGTATATGCCCTGGAACCATGCTATGGGTTGAGGTGGGGATCTCATGAATTCTGCCCAAGCTAGCCTCGAATCACGGTCCTCTAAATATCAACCTCCCAAGTAGCTAGGATTGCAGGGGTGAGCCTCTAGGACCTGGTAGAATTTCTTCTAGCCCATTTTTTTTTAATCACTTAATTTCAAAATTATACTTCATAGAGTTTTACTTAATTTGAATTCTTCTCTGCTGTCCCAGTGTGTAGGTATCATCCTTGGAGAAATTCTCTCCTGGTGAGCATTGAATTATTTTACTAGTTTGTCCCAGTCATTTTTAATGATTAAAATATGAGACAATCTGTGGTGGTGTCTTTTCAGAATTTAAGATCATGTAGGACTTTATACCGGCCACTAGGGGTCAGCATGCACTTGGCTATTGTGCCAGTGTATCCTGGGCCTGAGGGAGCTAGCTGAAAAGCCAATTCTGGTTTCTGGCATCATATTCATGTCATAGTCACCATTCCAGCTGTATAAAGAAATATTGGTGCAGATGTTAACAAATGTCATTGTTCTTTCATGTCTAAGCCATTGTTAAGTCACTATTTCAGGATGATTAACCCTTATCTTCTGGAATCAAATGTAACAGCATCTCTGAAAGGTACGGGAGGAACTCAGCTTCATGAGACATCTGAATTCTGTCCTTGTCAACATTTCTCTTATGGTCATAACTTCCTGAAGCTTTAGAGGAGGAAAAAAATTAAAACTTATATAGCAGGACTTACAATTCAGTTAACATTATATGGGCTTTGCAGATAACATATAGCTTCCTGGGAGCTTAAAAAAAATACTTGTATAGATTCTATTTCCTAGATAATATCTTGGTGGGGAAACTTCCCAGCTTGAAACATCACCAAGACCACAAGAGTTGGTTTGGATGAGAAAAGCTCTTGAGCAAAGAGAACAATGCACACGAATAGCATGAGGTGGGAAGAAGGTTGGGAGAGGTTGACTTCAATGAGTTCCATTTAGACCTTATCTCCCTGCAAGAATGGTCCAGTGCCATCAGGAGCTTTGAAGATCACAGGCAGCCCTTGAATCTGGACAGTTGTTTTGAAATTATTAGAAGTATTTTTATTTGAAGGAAGGTTAAAAAAAAACCCAACCTTGTAGGAAGAAAAAGTCGAAGATCAAAGCTAAGAAAAGGTGGAATCAGATGAAAAGGGCATTTGCTGAGCAAAGAATAGAAGGCAAACTAGGCTTAGAAACTGAGCAGACACAGGGGTGGGACACAGAAATGTCTAGATTTTCAGGATTTGCACTTTGACCTGGAATGGAAGGAGATACTCCTCTTTGTGTGTTCCAGATGTTTGATATCCGGATACCTTTCTGAAGTTAAAGGTAAACCTTGATAGAGCAAGAGTAAACAGACCAGGAAGGCTTTGAAAAGCTACCCTGAACGCTTCTAGTAGCAGCTGACAGTGGGGTCAACTGCTGCCTAACAAATGACCTCAAATGTGGATTAAAGCAATAACATGTTATCTCAAAACTTCTGCGGGTCATGAATATGGACAGAGCCTAGCAGTTTCCCCAGAGTCCCTCCCAAGGCTGTGATGGTGAGTGACATGAGGCCGAGGTGGTAGTCCTCTCTGGTCCCATCCACCATGCTGTGGGTTGTTAGCACCAGGGTCTCAGGTACTGATCATTGGCCAGAGACTACCAATAGCAGCTTGCCCATCGCTCTTTCCATAGATGAAATACATTGCGGCTGCTTTGCCATGAGCGGGAGTTGGGAGTCGAAAGCAAGCGAGCGGGATTGCCAGAGTTGTTTATAATTGAATCTCAGATGTGACATCAAATGGCATTTGCTGTATTCTGTGAGAAGCCGGACGCGGCGCAGCCCTCCGTCCACTGCAGCGTTGTGTGTGGTATCAAGAGGTGCGGGGGTCAGGGAGAAGCAGCGCCTGCCACATACACTCTGCACACCCTGGAGAGAGCCCGGGCGGGGGTTAGAGCTACAGGAAGAGACAGTCCTGCTTTGTGGTCAGGCTTGTCTTGAACTCCTGAATTCAAGTGACATTTCTTCCTCACCTTGCTAGGTACAGAATGTATAGGTGTACACTATCCTGGAGAAATAGACATTTTTTTTAAATAGAGACATAACATTTGTCCATCTTCATGGGACACCTTAGGGTGTTGATACATATGTACAACAATACACAATAGTGAAATTTCTGTCTCTTCAAACATCTTCGTATTGGACATTTTATAGTCTTTTCCAGTCATTTTCAAATCCAGCAACCTTTGTTTTGGTTTCTGTAGAGGGCTTTCCTAGCAGGTGTAAGGCCCTTTCTTTGATCTCTAGCACTGTGAAATAAAAGTCACCAAATTCTTTAAGCAAGAGCTACTCTATTTGCTACAGGGAAGCTAGAAATAACCCCTCCTGTCTATTTTGGTGTCCATCATTTAGCTTCTTTCCATCTCTTCTGCTCTGTTTTATCACAGTCTCTAGGGACCAGCTGTTTTGGGTCCTATCACCATCCATTTCTAGTTGGTATACTGGGACCACTGGCTAAGCTCAGTGTAGAGCGACTCCTAGAGCTGGGGCCCTTGTACCCCAACTCATAAGAATCGCAGATAGAATTCAGAAGCTTCTTCCACATCACTTACTTCCGCACATTCCTGGAATGTGAGTACCGTGTAAGATTACACCATTAAAACTTCTTTAAATAACACTGCGTGTTCTCTGAATATTGTGTCGCCCGATTTTTACTTGTTTTTTCTAATATTCATGTACGTTCTCTTTAGTTCATGGTTAGTAGATGTCAAAACATTTGTGTGTGTGTGTGTGTGTGTGTGTGTGTGTGTGTGCGTGCACGGTGGTACTGGGGCTTGAACTCGCTCTTGTTTAGCTTTTTCTCTTCAGGTTGGCACTCTGCCACTTGAGCCACCCTTTCACATCCAACATTTTGCTGGCTCCTTAGAGATATAAGTCTTGAGGACTTGGCTGCCTAGGCCAGCCTCTAACTGCGATCCTCAGATGTCAGCCTCTTGAGTAGCTAGTATTACAGGTATAACCCACCCACCAGTGTCTGGCAAACACTCATTGTTCTAAGAAAACTTTCTTTTGTAAAATATGAAAATCTCCCTATAATCATATTCTCAGACTCCTAGGCTGAGATTGATGCATTTCAGTTGTGGGTTTTTATTTGAAGATTCATGTTTATTTGATAGAGGATGATGAGGAATTATATTCTGTCCCCCCCCTTGGTGTTTCAGGGCTCACCCAGGAAGGCTTGTTCAGGGTAAATGGGAACATGAAGGTGGTGGAGCACCTGCGGATGCAGATGGAAAATGGGGTGCATCTGCAGCTAGGGGCACAGGGGGAGGAGCAGGTGCGTGCAGCCGCCAGCCTGCTGAAGCTGTTCCTGCGCCTGCTGCCGGAGCGTGTGATCCCCGCCTCGCTGCAGCCCCGCTTCCTCCAGCTCCTGCAAGGTTAGTGCTGCAAATGCCCTGGGGCTGCAAACAACCCGGGTTTCTGGTTAAAGCTGTCCTGCAAAATGAGCCGGGCAAATTATGCAACAGGAGCCAGGCACCAGAAGCTCATGCTTATAATGTAGCTGCTACTCAGGAGGCTGAGATCTTAGGATTATGGTTCAAGGTCAGCCAGGGTAGAAAATTGTTTGAGACTCCTATCTCCAATTAATCTCCAAAAAAAAAAAAAAGGAAGTGGAGCTGTGATTCAAGTGGTAGAGCACTAACTGAACAAATAAAGCTCAGGGCCAGCATTCAGGCTCTGAGTTCAAGTCCTGGTTCCTGCACTAAAGAAAAAAAGAGCAAATAATATACACCTTCAGAGGTTTGTAATTTCTGCAATAACTACCTGCCATTTCCCACCAACTCTTCTCTTCTACCTAAAATAATCCCAAACTGATGATGAAATCCTCATAACCAAATGGAGTTTCTGAAACAGGCAAAAACATTAAACCCTGACACCTTGGGGAGGAAGAAGCTTCCCTGACAGGGAACACTCTATGGGGATGGATGGGATGATAGCTGGGCATTGACCTGTGAGCCTGGGCGTGCACTGGTGGGGTGGTCTGGACATGCACTGTGGGGTTGTCTGGACGTGCACTGTGGGGTTGTATGGACATACACTGTGGGGTTGTCTGGACGT